GGAGTAATTGTCTGCATGTTTATACCTTGAATTACCTGACCTTGTAGAATTGATACAGGCTCAGATAAGAGTTAAGATTGGAGAGCCATATCTGTCTCCTGTAATTAGGGGCTAATTAGTGAACTTCTTAGCAGTTTATACATAAGTATAAATAGAAATGAGATTATTTTATACAGTGGCACGCATGAAGGGCTTGATGTGATACTACAAGTATATTGGACGTCTGTAAATCTTACTCATACCTACATATCATTTATTTTAAAGGATTGATATTACAGCTAGGAAATTGAGGTTTGGAAAGGCAAGTTTCAGTGGTAGTGAGTGAGCAGATTGAATCTTGATGTTTTTTGATTCCAAATGAGTAATGCTATGAATACAGATAGAAGTTTCTATGTTTAATTCTTGTGTGTATACCTGAGTGAAAGTGCTGGGTCATCCAGGAGTTAACTGTTTAATGAATTGTTAAGACTTTTCTAAAATACATCATTTCAGTTGCCTTGGTAGGAAAATTTGTCTTTCACATCTAAACCAATGCTTGTTTTTTATTACAGCCATCCTAGAGTATATGAAGTAGTATCCCCTTGTGGTTTTGGTTTGAATTCCCCTAGTGACTAATAGGTAACATTGAGTGCTTATTGGTCATTTGTGCTTATGAATCATATCTTTGGAGAGATAGCTATTCAAATGTTACTTTTAAGTTGTTTTACATACGGTGTGAGGTGGGGGTCCAAATTCATTCTTATGTATGTGAACACACAAAAGTTGTCCTAGCACTCTTGGCTGAAAACTATTCCTACAGTCAGTCTGCCTCTTCTGCTTCCCACTCTGCTGAATACTCTCACCCACCAAAGTCTTTTAAAAAATACTTTTTCATTGTTGAATTACAATTACATTGGTATTCTTATTGAATGTGTGGTGTCTGTTTCTGGAATTTGAATTCTAGTCCCATTAGTTATGTATTGTAAGTTATTTTTGTTACACATTTTAGTTAAGTTTAATGCATACCCTGAAAAGTAATCAGTCTTTGTATTAGCTGCCTCCTAAGTATGAAGTATATAAACCTAAGACTGATGTGGTTTAGATTAATTTGGGTTTTAGCAATTTTAATTACAAAACTAAAATGATTACATTAATATAGAAAATGCTGTACCACGATGTTAAAAATATGGATCTCTGCCTTTAATCCTCATGGCACCTTCTAGATATGTAGGAGGGTTGCTGCTTCTGATTCCGAGTATCTTTGATCGTTAAATTACTTAGCATTTGCAGGCATGGAATAATACATCGGTAAGTTAACTTAAAATTTAGGTTCTCTTCATAATTTTTGATATCCCTTGTATATTAGCACATGGGACTATAGATTGTGATATACATAACTTTGGGGTTTTGAAGTCTTTAGGTTTCCATCAGATAACTCTTGTGTTCTTTTGCAATGGATTTTGTTTCTCAATGAAGGATAAATTATGAGCTCAAATTTTTAGTGACTAAGAAAAGTTGGTGGTGAAGATGTAAGGTGGTTTGTAAATATATGGCACTAAGAATGGAGTCATATCACCAAGTATTTGTAATAATAAACAGATTTTTAAAATGAAAGCATGGTGTGGCTCATACATATACTGAAATTTAAGTTGTTAGTTTGGGAAGGAAGTCTTCAAGTGGAAAAAGTGGTCTAATACTTTTTTTATTCTCTCCCTTATTCACACAGGGAACCAGGATTCCGAATAGAAATTCTTCCTGTGGTACTCAGCTGTGACCCCTTTCAGCATTTGCTCTGGGAGTTCTCTTCACTGTGGGATGAGGTAGTAGGTTGTATAGTTTTAGGGTCACACCCACCACTGGGAGATAACTATACAATCTACTGTCTTTCCTAAGGTGATAGAAAATCTGCATCCAAGTGGTCTTATAGGAATTTGAAAGCTAATACAATATTTAAGATGGACATATATAACAATGCTATAGTGCAGCATTTCTTTATGGTATGCAAGTTTATTCTTTTGCATTCTAAAAGCTGTAGAGTGGGTGAGTGGTGTAATTTTTTTCTGTGAGTCAGACTAGTGCTGTGATGTTGATAATTCTGTATTCAATTTACTTTTAAAAACTATGTGTTCTCCATTCCAGAAGAAAAGATTGCTCTATCAGAGTGAGGTAGTAGATTGTATAGTTGTGGGGTAGTGATTTTACCCTATTCAGGAGATAACTATACAATCTATTGCCTTCCCTGAGGAGTATACTTGCTGCATTTGTTTTTATCTAGGTTATGTTAAAACTCAAAAAAATTCCTTCATTTGTATCTATACTTTGTTTATATGTCAATTGCTGATTTTCTTGTCAAATATAGTATATTTACAGTAGGCATAGTAATCTAACATTTCAAATTTTCATATATGGCATATTTCAGAAATTCAGTGAAAATCACCCGAGTAGATAAAATAATCTTCAGAAAATCTTAATAGGGACCCAGCCTCTTCAGTGTTTGTAAAATGGGTTCACTGCCCCCACATCCTGTCATACACAACTACCCACATCCTGGATGGTCTGTACTAAAATGGAGTCGGGTTGGTTATGTTTTATTCCACAATTTGGGCTTTTGGGTGGCTTTGGGCAGTGTTGGTAACCACTGCTTTATTATTTTGATTTGGGTGACTTCACTTTTTAGACCTAAAAAGGAATAATGTGCTCTGGATTCTATCCCCTAGTAAGTCACTAACTGCAACTTTGCCCCCAGAACATGAAGAAGAGGTCACCTCTTCACCAAATATTTCCATTTATCCTTAATGTTAACATCTAAAATGGTCATAATGCTGTTCCACTGGCAGGAAATTTACATGAAAGAAAACATCTTTTGATTGTCTTTTGATTAGGCCCAATTTAGGTGGTTTTATCCTGGACTCATTTAATGCTTTTTATTTTATTTATGGTATATAGTTGGACACATGCATGGTCCAGAAGTAGTCTTTGTTTTATAAACTGGTCATAAAAACATTGGGGGATTGAAAACTGCTCACATTTGTTACTCTTTTGGTATACCAAAGAAAAGTGAGACTATTAAAGGAATTCTCTTTGGCTTGATCTTTGTTCGGCTGACAAGTTGGATAAGTCACCTGCTCACTGTGTATAGTATAGGCATGGAGTATTAATGGCTTCTCTACACATGCCTCCATTATGGATTTCATCACCACGTTATATCTGGAAACAGCTTAATGTAATAACTGAAGTCTAGAGGCAATGGAATGTATGACATAAGGAGCCATTTCCTACTCTTATTAACCAAACCTTGTTAGTGACTTCATTGTGGCAAATGACTGTTTTTTAAAAGGACTTCTGAAAACATGCTTTTGATGGTGACAGATACCATGATCAGAATTTGCTTCATTTAATTCATTTGTCAGAAACTTAAAATATCTGGGTTCAGGCGGTCTCTTAACACAGGTTAATTTTGAAGTGCATCCTCCAAGTAGAAGACCGGCAAGAAAAAAATGGGTTCCTAGGAAGAGGTAGTAGGTTGCATAGTTTTAGGGCAGGGATTTTGCCCACAAGGAGGTAACTATACGACCTGCTGCCTTTCTTAGGGCCTTATTATTCTACGGTAACCTGTTTGATGTTAGCAGAGTTCTTTCTGCAGATTTTCTCATAACTGAAAACATTGCAGGAATCCCAAAGGAAGCAATTCTTATAAACAGCATCATGGTTGCTATCAGAGATTACTAAAAGTCAGCTAATGAGAATCTCAGATTTCTGAGGGTACATGCCTTGTTGGTGCTCCACTTAAGGGTCCCTGTAAAGTTTTGGAAGGCATAGGAGTTTTCTGAGTCATGTTCACTTTTCTGAGATCTTCAGACTGTTAGCCCTCTTTTTGTAGTCTTTATTACACCTGAGAGAAGATACTTAATACAACTATTGATATTCTGCTGTTCCTCACACTGTATGTATAGGTATGTCTTCAGTTTCTGGGTTTCTCTGTATTAAAGGAATGGGATTGTATATTGTGGAAATTGTATGCTGCGCTGAGTACCTGTTATGGTACGTAGCCCTGTGGTTGAATCTGTTTAATGTGTACAAGGACTGGAAAGTAAACAAGTGAAAATGGTTGATGAGAGTAGAGTTGCCTATAATTTGTTAAATATTTTTTCAATAAAAAAGTTGCATTCACTGTAAAACCTGTGCTATTTAAATCGGTCTCAACCCTCCTATCATTGCAGTTACATGGTTTTTTATATAAAAATATTTGGACGTGAAGATCTGTTCAGGTATTTTTTTTTTTTCCTCTTTTTTTTTTTGATTTTTTTTTTTTTGCTTTCAGAAATGGGGGACAGGCCAGAGATGTGTGTGTGTGGGGGAGGGGTGAGGATTCACCAGAGACAGAGTGGGGAGCAGAACAGGCAGATCGACGAAGTACACTGCTGAGGGGAGCAGCGGGCGGGTCAGGAGAGGTCTGCCACGCCATGCGGTCACCTCCGGGGCAGGCGGGAATCGAACTCATGCGGAAGCGGCTTTAGATTCTCAGTGCTGTGCTTTAACCCGCTGCGCCACCAGGGAGGGCCCAGGTATTTTTTATTAGCCATGATTTGATGGTAATACTATCATTCACAAATGTCTTAGTGAAACTAATTTGAGCCATATTCAGCTCTTCCATTTTTTGCAAATGCATGTCTGTACATACACAATACCATCTGCTTAGGATGTGACTTTCACTCTATACTGGTAATTCTCATTCCTTGAATTTGTTCAGGCAGGCACTACTTTGCAGAAACGTTCCTTATCTCTGATTCCTGATCTGATTTGAACATATACTAAGAATGGTACTTACTGGGATGTGTGCATTAGCACGCCAACAGTGGTTTTAAGTGTTTTTATTGGTACTGATTTTGAAAGGTAATGTATTTAAAGATGCCATAGTGAAAAGGAAATTCTCAATTGGGTGGCAAAATTGCATCAGTTTGTTTTTAGGGAAAAAAAAGGATATTGAAAGTGATAATGACCATAGTAGGATTGGAAGGTTTTTTTAATGAGTTACAAATTTTCCCTATTTCCGTTCATTAAAGTATTATAAATCTCCTCATTAAAAATATTTGGATTGCACCAGGCAGCCCTCAGCCCCCAATGCCATCGAAGTGGCATTGCTGCTTCCATTTTGTTTTCCTGTTGTGCCTTCTACTTGTTAAGGTCTTAAGGGAAGGTCAGGGAGGTGAACTGAGGAAAATCTCTGCCGTGTTCTAACTCCTTGGAATTCTCAGAGCCTACTTGGCTTGAAAACTTCTGACGTAAAAGCTATTTTTCCTAAAATAGCCTGGGGTGGAGTGACTACATTGAACTGCTGTTGACGCTGGAAGAACCATTTTAAAGAAGCATGGAGATGGTGCAGTATTGGTATGGAACTTAAAAGTCCATAGTTCCTCTTCTATCTCTGGCACATAATTTCCATCCTCAAGGCCACTCTTGTTAAGAGTGCAACTGCGGTAATAATGGCCAACACCCTTTGTACAAGGCATGAAGATATAAGGGTAAACGGCACATGTCAACCATCAAACCAAAACTGAATAGTCTTTGCAGCAGCACAGTCTGGTGCTTCCTTTGTGTCTCAACAGTAGCTTTTCTGATAAGTTGCTGTAGCTGCAGGGAGCCTGAAAATGACCTAACAAGCTGATTGCCAGGCTGAGCAGAAATGGTTTTACTAGTAAGGAGACTGGAGAGAGATGGAAGTGTTCAGGCAACAATACAGCAGAGGGCATTGGGGAAAAACTTGGAAAGGCTCATCTGTCATGCTAGCTATGTGATGTTACAGAAATGGTGTAATTTGTAAACAGGATAGAGTAACATAATCTCAGAGTTGTAAGAATCAAAATACTAAGGTGGTGTTTGCCAGTCACTCTGGAAGTGACTTATCCAAGGCCATTTGCATGGCTAATTTGCTTCAGAGCTAGAGCCCATCTGGGATGCCTAGGTACTTTGTATCACTGAATGCCATGGTCTTAAATAGTCCTGGACTTGACTTCATGTTTGAAGTTTCCCTTCTCCCAAGATCTTCGTTTTCTTAGTGTCAGGCACGGTCTCCACATCCTAGCATTCTAGGCTACTGACTTAAGAAAAAACTTGGACAAAATAACTTTGTTATGTTTCTCTCTTCTGTGTTCTCACTTCAGTACCATGAATGAGGACAGGCAAAGATGGGGGTGGGGGCTGTTGTAAGCTGTATGGGAGGATGTTTTTGAGGGCTGGGAGCAAAGGATGGGACAGGTAAGCAGAATGATGTGCAAGGGAGAGGTGAGCAGGCTGTTGAGGTTGGGTGAAAAGTGTGCTTTGCAGAATATGCTGCCAAGTTAACCAGCCATACCTGGACTGTTCAGACCACGACTGCTGGTGTAAGATTTGTTCATTAGATAATGCAGATCCACAAAAGGTAAAGACATGTCGACCATAATCCCCTCTAGGGTATCTCATTCTCCTCTTCACTCCATTTGTCTCAGATCCATCAGACTTGGGGCTCTTCATTCACTCCTCTTGCAGCCTGAGAGGCCCAGGCTTCCCATCATCAGAAAGGTAATTCTGTAGTCATGCTGCTGATCCGCTGTAGCTATAGACCTAAGAAAGAAAGAATAGACTACAGGATTTCAACTTCCTGTCCACAGAGAAATCCCTATGCCTTAGATTCCTCAACTATAAGATGAAGGTAATAGCACCTACTTCAGAGGGATGTCATGTGGGTTAAATGAGACAATATAAGCAGGGTACACAGCATGAGTTTGACACAGCTCCCAGAAAAGCTTTCTGTCCTGGCTTGCCTTTGAAAAGTCTTCCCTCTAGCACATTACATTCAGACAAGCATGGTTTTAAAACAGACCAACTTCACTCTGGTCATTGCCTGGGAAGTGAACCCTTCAGCCCTGTGCCTTCAGGAAAGCACAGGTGATTAAGGAACAGGACAGAATGAAGGGAATTGCTGTCCAGATTACCAACAACAGGAAGGAATTGGAAGACCTGAGAGGCTCCACGGAAGGCAGTGATTAAGAGAACGTCTGTCCTAGTGATACCTGGGTACAGATCTGCTAGTCACTGCTGGGAAATTCGGGCCCTTGTCCCAGTTTTTGAATTGGGTTGATGTGAGTGAAACATGTCAAATGCAGCATGTTGGCTGGCATTGACAATGCACTATGTCTGCCTTTACCACATATTCGCACAAGACTGGACTGAGAGAAGAGCTGTCCGAATGGTCAGGGGCTCCTTGTCTAAGGGCCTGGCTGTGAACTGGATTTCTGGCATCACGTCACCTGTAATGGTGAAGGTATTCTGTGACATCACATGAGGTGTGACTGCATATTGGGCAGATGCTGGAATACAAGTTCTTTGGCTTTGTTCTGGGAAATTGTACCGATCTAGCACAGCACTGTCTGGTAGAAATGGAATGTGACTCATATATTATTAGTAGTTACATTAAAAATACAGGTGAGGCCCTCCCTGGTGGCGCAGTGGGTTAAAGTAGAGCACTAAGTAGCTAAAGCCACTTTTAACATTTTGATCCCTGCCCTGGAGGTGACCCACATGGTGCGATAGACTTCTCTTGACCTGTCTGCTGCTCCCCTCAGTCGGCCTGTTCTTCTCCCAACTCTGTCTCTAGTGAATCCTCTCACTGCCCCTGCACCTCTGGCTTGTACCCCAGTTTTGTATGCATAAGTTAAATATATATACAGGTGAACATTTCAATGCATTTCTTTAAACTTTTACATCTACAATACTTTTCAACATGTTGGCAATATAAAAAGTTAGATACTGTATTCTTGTTTCATACTAAATCTCTGAAATCTATATTTTGTGCAACAATCAGGACTAGCTGCTTTCAGTGCTATCATGTGACTTGCAGCCACCTTATTGGACATAAAACTGATGTCTGAAACTAACCTTGAGAATGGAGCCAGGCTGCCATCTGGTGGCCATGCCAGCAAGTAGCCCAAGTACCTTCCCTTTGGAGGACTAGTCTCCTAACACAAGTTCCTGCTTCCTACCCAAAGGGGCCCTCCACCTGGTGTGAGAGTAAAGGAAGGCAGAAATAATCCAATTCAGTGGTTCAAAGCCCCAGGAGAAGGCTTTTGGATTTGAAAACTCCTGGAAGACAAGTGTGAGTAGACACTGAGAACAGATGAGGAGGTGGAAATAGCTTGTGTCACCTGCTATATAAGCAACTGTCCAGAAGTGAGACGACTGAGGTACAAACTGTCAGGATGGTGGCACCAGCATCTCAGACCATGGAAATCACATCATTAAAGAATCATTAAAAGAATCATTAAAAGAATCATTAAAGAATGCTGCCTTTTTAGGGGGGTGGGCCCTCCCTGGTGGCTCAGTGGGTAAAGTGCAGCACTATGAAGCAATATGCAACCACTGCAGCACAAGTTCGATCCCTGGCCAGGGAAGTGACCTGCCTAGGGTAGCAGACTTCTTCTATACTACCCATGCCTTCAGCAGTGTATTTCAGTGGATCTGCCTGTTGTATTCACACTGGTGAATTCTCTCACTCCCCTCAAATGACCACCCCAATTTTGTATGCATACATTTTTTGAAAGAATGGTTTGTTTTGCTACTCAATGAACACAAAGTACAAAAGCACATTATCTCCCTCCAACTGCCAGCCCTAATAACTGCATTCCCCTTAGTGCACCATCACAAGCATGCCATGGTAATCTTTGTATACACTTTATTGTTGAAGCTTTCTGTAGAGTAAGTTTTTTGAAATGCACTTGTGTCCAAAATTAAATGCAGCTATAGTTTTGAGAGGAGTATCTCTCTTTAATCAGACTTAGATGTAATTTACATATAATCACTGTTTTACCTGTATAATTTGGTGAGTTTTGAAAACTTTTATAGTCTAATAATTGCAAAGACCTGCCACACTGCACACTACAAGGTGACTTTTATATTTGTTTTGCAAACTAGCTTAGTTTCCCACAAATAAGCAATTGTTTTCTCAAATGTACCAAAGTACTTGAAACCATCTTTCTCACTTCCCTTTTTCCAATTTGCCCTTCATTACTTTATTGCCTTTTCCTTTAGTTCTATTTAACTGACTTGAATCATTGTTAGGGTTTTTAAAAATTAAGGTTTATTAGATTTTATAGTAAAATGATAATTTGAGTTTTATTTCCATCACTGTTTTTCTTGATAAATACTAATAGTTATTAGTAAATATTTGAAAATTAAATGCTATTTTAATTGGAATTGCATTAAACTCAAGGCTCATGTTATCAGAGACCTTGAGTTGTGGCTTCTCTAAAATTTATGTAAGAATGTGTAATTTGCATACTTAATTCGTGAAAAAATGGTGACAAGGTTTCTAAAGTAGTTGATATACCTCTTCCCCCAAACAATATAAAGGTAAGCTAAATTTAGGGCTGATTTTGCCCACTATTGAGGCATAAACACTTTTGAGTCCTTTGAGCCTTGTGAATTGATTTCCATCCGTTTTGCTGGGAATGGACACTAAGCTAATGCATTTTTCTGGTTCTTTCCTGTGGGTTGCACATATACAGGTATCCTACTATACTTGGGGAGTGGCCTCTGCTTGGGTTTCCCTTCTCAGTCTTGTGACCTGAAATTTCTGGCGAAGTTCAAGGGATCACCTGAACTTGCCCCTTCTTCACGGTTCATTGCTCTTCATTGCCTTATGTCCACTGCCTTCAAGTCTGTTGTATATTTTATCCTTTTAAAAGTTATTTAAGGTAGGTGGCCAACTCTGATTCTTAATACTTGATTTTGAGCAGAAAAAGTGTGTTAGTCTTTTTATAAAGATTTCAATGTTTGAGTTTCCTATTGTTACATCTAAATGATTTTTGTTACCCGTAAATTAGTTTTAATCATTCGATTCCAGTGAGAGCTGAGGGGCAGGTGCTTAGTTCCACCAGGCCGAGTCCAGGGCAAGTCTCAGCTCCTTGCTTTGTGGGCATCTCGGCCAGGTGCCCGGAGGCACTAACTGCTGGGATCCACGGTCCCAGGGCTGTCAGGGTAGTTTAGTTCTCACTTGGGGGCATTGTGGGCAGGGTAGTCTCTCCACTGTTAGTTGCACGGTAGCGTAGTCCTTTGACACTACAGCTGGCATGTCCTGCGCTAAGTCGTAGTTGAGGCGCAGCGTGGTGAGACAGTAATTCCTCACCTATGGTGAGCAAGCCCTATGCCTGGCTCCTCTGCAAGGAGAGCGATAGGAAAGCTGGGTGACGACGGCAGGGGGTGGTTTGATTCTTAACGCTGGGCTTGCGATGTCTGGCAGGCTGGGCATGGGAGAGGGGAACGCTAGCAGATATCCCTAGTGGAGGGACGCGCTCCATCTCTGCGGTGCGGGCGATAGGCTCAGGTTTTGAGGAAAGACTGGCGTGGGGCAAAAAGCCCAGACTTGTCTCGATCCAGCCCTGGTCCAATGATTCTGGGCCCAGAGGGCCCACAGGCTCTGGGGTGAGCAGAATGGCTGGGCTGTGTGGGATATACCAGATTGCTCCAGCATCTGATGTGCTGATGGGCAGTTTCCTTTGGCCTTGTTTTCCTTAAGCACTGGATGGGGCAGGCAACTTCCCCCCAACCTCAAGGGACTGTAGGCTTACCCTTTTGATCTCGGGGTGGGCGTGGATCAGGGAGGAGTGGTGAAGAGTATAAGGCATCTAGATTTAAGTTCTTAATTCTGAATTTTCTTTAAAATATTGCAGACATCCAAAAAGTAGCTGTGAAGTTCCACATACTCATCCCTTACACTCATCACTTACCAAAAAGTACTGTCATTTATCCCCAGATCTACAAAGCCAAGTGTGGATCTCACTGGAGGTCTCTCTTTTTTTTTTTTTTCCCCAAATCGTATTTCTTAAGTGGTTGGGTTTCACAAATTTTAAAGATACAGACTTGATCCTCTTTTTTTTAATTGTAAGAAACAACATATATTTATCCTCAACTTCTACGTGTACAGTACAGTTTTGTTAACAGTATAACTTTACCCTCTCCTTCCCTCTCTGGTAACCACCATTCTACTTTACCTTACTTTAGTACCCTCAATAAGAGAATCATGCAGTGTCTGTCTTTGTGACAGGCTTCTTGACTTAGCATAACATCCATAACTTATGACAGGATTTCCTTTTTAAAGGCTGAGTAATATTACACTATGACATATATATATATATTTATGCCACAACGTTTTATATATATATAAAGTGGTATGCATAGCTCCATTTTATCCATTGTTGATAGATATTCCTTTGTGTCAGTCTTGACAAACATGGCTGTATAAATAATTCTTTGAGATCCTGTTTTCATTTCCTTTGGATATATATCCAGAAGTAAATACTTGGATCATCTGGTAATTCTGTTGTTTTCCATAGCAACTACACCATTTTACAGATCCACCAATAATGCATTAGGGGTACAGTTTCTTTACATCCTTGTCAAACTTGTTATTTTCTGTTTTTGTTTTTTGAATTATGGCCATTCTAATACTATGAAATTCTATCACACTGTAACTTTGATTATATTCTCTTGATGATTTTTGAAGTTTAGTATCTTTTCATATGCTATTGACCATTTGTTATCTCTTTGGAGAAATTTCTACTCAGATC